CCCCAAAACCCCAAAACCCCAAAACCCCAAAACCCCAAAACCCCAAAACCCCATCTCAATTCACCGAGATTGAATGAACGGCAATAAAATAATTATCTTGAACCGTTTGAGAACTTTTTGAATAAATGTTCGTACACTTCCTCTTCAATTTCTGGTGGAATAAAGTTTCATAGCTTTCTTTGGTTCTTTGCAATAGTTCTGATCATCGTTGAGCTAATATGAACTTTCCCCTGAAAAGTTAGGTCAGAAATGCTTACCTCCTTAGCCATGAGCATGACAGTCTCTATTCCAGAAAACTTCCTGTTCATCAGAGCCATTAAGATTTCTGAGTCAAGATCAGCATGGCTTCTAATACCTCTGATCAAGAAGTTCACATTATGGGCTTTAGCATACTCAGATACAAGTCCTTCTACAAAGACTGGCTCAATGTCATGGTCTAGATGCACAAATTAAGCTAAACTAAAATATATGATTTTCTATATTCAGAACTTTCAGAGACGTCCAAGAATAACTTCTGAATTTTGAAAACACATAAAATTAGCATCTTCGGTATATTGCAGCATCTTGGTGAATTTTCCTGAACAATTAAGAGCAATTTTTCATTGAAAATGAGCAAAAATTAGTTTTGTTTGAAACCGGATGATTCTTATTCCTAATTACTGTTAGAAACTTGGCAAGGTAAATTAGAAATACCAATTAATCTTCACTTAAATTAGAAAACTTGGGCTAATCAGAGTATTTACCTATGGTGTTAGTAATCTTGCTGAGAAGATTAAGCCGATGCTCTGCAGTAAACACAGGAATTTTATCAGGGTTAATTCCTATCCCAACGTATAATTTATCACAAAGAGTTCATGCTCTCTTGATGATATCCAAGTGGCCCACTGAGGGAGGATCAAAAGAGCCTGCATAAAGACCAATCCTATGCTTCTTTACCAGTTTTCAGAACGCCCTTCCTAACAGAGGAGCTTTATACCCTCTGCTCATTATTCGTGTGCTTAACATTTTATTAAATTATACACTATTCTATTCTCGTATATAGCTGAGGGGTTTTGGGGTTTTGGGGTTTTGGGGG